AGCAGCGATTCTCTGTGCCAGCAGGTGCTCGCGACGCTGAGGCTCGGTAGTTGGCTTTTTTTATTTGATGCGGGAGGCGTGCGAAGTACAACACATCTTCCAATTAGCTTTTCCACCGCAGGCTCCTGCTGCCCGATGTCGCCCCACAACTTGGACCAGCGCACGATGTCTTTGCTAACCTTGGGATAATAGCCGAGGTCTTTAGCTGCTTGTATAAGAGCAGCGCTTTTTGCGCGCGGTGCTGCGGGGTCTACTTCTGGAAGCAAATGCTCAGGGTCGATGGCCTCCGCGACGAGCTGCTCGTCGTCAGCAGGCTGAGAAGCGCCGCCAAGGGCCCGCAATTCATGCAACGCGTCTTTGGGGATGCTGTCCTGGTGGGCTGAGAAACGTTTAGCCAAGTTGTTTTCGGCCGGCTCTTCTTCGGATGTTCTTTTGTTTTGCTTTGGTATCTGGCCGAGCTCCCGAATCGCATTCACGACTCTTGCGCGGCGCGCGACTCTGAGGACAAAGCGCCGTCAAGGGCCCGCAATTCCTGCAGCGCGTCATTGGGGATGCTGTCGCACTGGTCCGAGGTTGGCCAACTTGTTTTCGGCCCGTTCTTGTTCGGACGTTCCTTTCTTTCGCTTCGGTATCTGGCCGAACTGCTTCACGTCCTCTACGAGCGTTTGCAGAGGACCGCTCAATGCAGCGCGCTGAGGAGCACCGCTGTTCAATGCAGCAGGCTGAGGAGCACCGCTGTTCAATGCAGCAGGCTGAGGAGCACTGCTGTTCAATGCAGCAGGCTGAGGAGCACCGCCGCTAGACTGAGAACGACCAGCGTGTCCTGGCATTAAGGTGCGCAGTAGGCGCTGCGCAGTTCCTTGGAAAAAGGGAATCTTCGGAAGCAGGGCTCTAGCCAAGAAGGCTACGGGGAGGGTGGTGATGATGATGATGGTGATGATGATGATGATGATGATGATGATGATGATGATGATGATGATGATGATGATGATGATGATGAGGATAGTAGCAGCGGCAGCACCAGTAGCATCAGCAGTTGCCTGTGTCTGTGACTGGTTGTACAGGGGGCCGCAGAGGGGGCCGCACAGGGAACCGTACAGGGAGCCAGTCACAGGCACAAGGCACAGGCGACCAGTCATGTACATGTATATGTGTACGTGCGTTTACATGTATATGTATATGTGTTCAGTCTGCCAGCAGCCTCGGCCTCAGCCTCAGCCTGCCTCAGCTTCAGCCTGCGTCAGCCTCAGCCTCAGCCTCAGCCTGCCTCAGCATCAGCCTGCCTCAGCGTCTGCCTCAGCCTGCCTCAGCCTCAGCCTCAGCCGCAGCCTGCCTCAGCCTCAGGCTGCCTCAGCCTCAGCCTGCTTCAGCATCAGCCTGCCTCAGCCTGAGCCTCAGCCTGCCTCAGCCTCAGCCTCAGCCTCAGCCTGCTTCAGCTTCAGCTTCAGTCAGCCTTCAGCCTCGGCCTCAGCTTCAGCCTGCCTCAGCCTCAGCCTGCCTCAGCCTCAGCTTCAGCCCCAGCCTCAGCCTCAGCCTCAGCCTGCCTCAGCATCAGCCTGCCTCAGCTTCAGCCTGCCTCAGCCTCAGCCTGCCTCAGCCTCAGCCTCAGCCTGCCTCAGCCTCAGCCTCAGCATTTTCAGCGTCAGCATCAGCATTCAAAATGTGACCCTGGAATGAGTTCTGGGAATTCGAAGAGCCGGAAGTGGCTTACAGTTGGCTCCGGGCATTCAAAATGTGGCCCGGGAATGGAGTTCAGGGAACTCGAAGAGCACGAAGTGGCTTACAGGTGGCTCCGGGCATTCAAAATGTGGCCCAGGAGTGGAGTTCTGGGAAGTCGAAGAGCACGAAGTGGCTTAGAGTGGGCTCCGGGCACTCAAAATGTGGCCCGGGAGTGGAGTTCTGGGAACTCGAAAACCACGAAGTGGCTTACAGTTGGCTCCGGGCATTCAAAATGTGGCCCGGGAATGGAGTTCTGGGGACTCGAAGAGCACGAAGTGGCTTACAGTTGGCGCCGGGCATTCAACATGTGTCCTGGGAATGGAGTTCTGGGGACATCGACGACCACGAAGTGTGTAACTGCTTGCTTATAGCGAGCCCGGCCCTCGTCGGTTTCCGCCCGATCGGCTGCTCCCCGGATCCTGCCCGGACCCCCCCGGGGAGTCGAGATGTTTCGTTTTGACCCCACTAGAAGCCTATCCGTCTTCGCTGTTAGGTAACAAACTATAAAAAAATATCGGGCATCTTTTTATTTGTGTGTATTCAGTTGTGTGTCTTGGGGCCCCTCCAGGGTTCTTCCGCCCGGATCTGCTTGTTTCTGCTCTACGTTTGGGCCTCCGGCGCCGTCCTCCGTGGGCTCCCCCATGGGGCCGCCGGGTGCTCCCGGAGGCGGGAGGCCTCCGGGAACGTCCGGCTCGCCCTTGCCCCCCCCTTTTGCTGGAGCGACGGAGGGGGCGGGCCGGGGTGCAGGAGGCCACGGGAGGCCCAGGAGGAGGCCCCCAGGAGGTCCCCAATGGAGGCCCCAGGAGGCCCCAGGTGGCCCAATATTTTCGTGTGAAGGTCTCATGTGTAAACATCAGGTTCTCACGCTCTAGCATGCCGTGCCCCCCCCCTTTGCTGGAGCGACGGAGGGGACGGGACGGGGTCCAGGAGGCCACAGGAGGCCCAGGAGGAAGCCCCAGGAGAGTGTGGTTGGAGGCTGCAGTCTTTATGTCGCACGCGGCGCTTTCACACGGACGCCGAGCTGGTTCAATGATGTAAAGCACACGCTTTATCTTTTATCGAGTACAGAACTCGTGCTTTTACTCACGCCTCCAGTTCTGTCTTAGCACCTTTGGATAGATTTCAAAGGAGGTCCCCCAGGAGGCCCCAGGAGGCCCCAGGAGGCCCAGGATTTTTGTGTAAGCATCTCGTGTGCAAACATCAGGTGATCGTGTTCTCACATGCCGTGCCAGCCCGCACTGGACGGGCACGCAAGCGACCTCGGAAACCGCAGTGGGTTTAAAGACCCTGTTTGGGGATACTGGACTCTGGCTATACTTTATTCAGAAGAGGAAAAACACACAGACACAATGAATCCTCGATTCCCCAGAACATATGGGAAAGTATGGGAAGTGAGGGGGGGGAAGACAGAAACCCAGAACCTATAGGAACATATGGGGAATATGTTTCTATTTGTGCGTATCTATTTGCGTGTCCTGGGGCCCCTTCGCCGCCGTCGCCGCCGTCGCCGCTGCCGCCGCCGTGGTCGTCGTCGTCGTCGTCGTCGTCGTCGTCGTCGTCGTCGTCGTCGTCGTCGTCGTCGTCGTCGCCGTCGTCGTCGTCGTCGTCGTCGTCGACGTCTGGGATGGTGCGTGCGCCCGATGCCTGCCAGAGGTCCTGCGGGGCGAGGGGCCGTCGTCGGGCCGACCGAACGTACCCCGCCGCCACGGGAGGCGGGCTCCCGCATCTCTCGCCCGGGAGGCAGGCGCGGGCGGCGGGCTCCCGCGGCCTCCTCCTCCTCCTCCTCCCCCTCCTCCCCCTCCTCCTCCCCCTCCTCCTCCTCCTCCTCCTCCCCCTCCTCTTCTCCTCCTCCTCCTCCTCCTCCTCCTCCTCCTCCTCCTCCTCCTCCTCCTCCTCCTCCCTCCTCCTCCTCCCCCTCCTCCTCCTCCTCCTCCTCCTCCTCCTCCTCCTCCTCCTCCTCCTCCTCCTCCTCCCCCTCCTCCTCCAGACATCCGCCCCTGAACCCGCGCAGCCCCTTACACAGGGGGAGCCGCCGCGCGCCGCATCCGCAAAGGGGCTCGCTCCGCAGCAGAACCACCGAACCCCGAGAGACCCAGGGCACCCTGGAGGTACGCAGGACGTTTCTCGGCATGGGCCTCTCCACTCTCAGGGGGGCCACATGCGAGCCCTACCCCTACCCCCCTCAACGATTTCTGAGGGAGGGGGGGGTGGGGTTCCCTCCGTTCTCGGGAGCTCTCGAGCGAAGTGAACCCCACCCTCCCCCTCGGAAGTTGTGAGGGGTAGGGGTAGGGTTCGCATGTGGCCCCCTACAGGGCTGGCAGCGCGGGGTGAGGAGAGGCGGAGGTTCACAATCTCAGGCATGCGGCGGCTTCCTCATCAGCACTGAAGTCGAGCTGTCCTTCGGGACTGACTCTGCGATTCACCCTCACGATCACGTGGCGAGTCCATGGAGGCTTCAGTCGAATTCACGGGCTGTGGGATGGGGAGGGAGCAGGGAGTGGACATCGTAGGGTTAGGTCGGGCCTGTCCCTCTCCAGGAGGAACATTCAAGAATAGTAGGGGAAGATTTTTTGTATCAAACTTTTTTTGGACTTTTTTTTTTGTTCGGCGGGAAGCCGCCTGTAGGGGGACATGCCCGACCTAATCGTAGGGAAGGTAGGCTCAGGGGCCGACAGGGTCGAGGTCCGAGGTTTCCCCGGGCGCCTTCGTCGACTCTCGGCGGTTTCTTCCAGCCGCGGGATGCTCTCCAGCAGCTGCTCCTCGCCGCGAGGCTTCCGCAGGTGCTTGGGTCGTCCCGGACGGGCGCTGGAGGCCCGATCTTTCTGGCCCGACAGCCACCGGGGACGGGGATACGGTCGGGGCCCTGAAGAAGGAGCCTTTTTCGTTGGGAAGGGCCTCCGCGTTCCTCAAGTGTTTCACAGCTTGCCTCAGGTTTTCCTTATGTTTTCGATCGGAAATCGAAGGTTAACTCATGGAAAAAAGGGGCCTCGTTCCTCAGTTAGGGTTCCTTAGGTCAACGCCCCGACTGTAGGTGGCAGGGGGGGGTGCATCGACCCCCAATCGCTGATCTATCGCCGGTAGGCCCACCCCGCTCAGGAACGTTCTGCGTCGTTCTCGGGGGCCCAGCGCCGACCTCTCGGCGGTGCAGCGCTCTGCGCAAGCTCGGGGTTCCCTCCCTGAGCTGGTCGCTCCCCACAGGATATGGCCTGAATAAGGAACACTTGCTTGTCAAAAGGGGCTCGGTCGTTCCTTTGGTTTGCATGAGTCCCGCTACCTTTTTGGCAGCGAATCCCCCTGGTGTTCCTTCGAACTTCGTAGACTTACTTGGAAAAAAATGGTTTCGTTCCTTCTTGATCGTTCCTCAGGCCAGGCCGAATACGGTAACGTTGCCCATCAGAAGACGGGCAGACGGAGGCCTCGTCGGGGAGACTATGATTTCAGGCACACGTCCAAGGTAATTACCTGACATCGTCAGTGCGGAACCGTCTCTGGCTGCTGAAAGCCTCGCCCCCCGGCGGGTTTGGACGTACTCGCTGCGGGCAGGGGGATCAGGGCGCTTCTTTCTTGCCTGTCGTCGTGCCCTCTTATTCACCTCATTTTTTCCTTTTTCAGAAGAGACGCATCGTCCTGTTGATCGGTATATGTCCGAACACGGTCACGCCACCGCTCGCACACAAGTTTGCGGCACGTTGGGATCTCAGCGGGCCGGCGTGCGCGTGGAAGCAGCGGCTGCTCTGTGCAGGTCTACCTGAAAGTGGTTACCTGAAGGCGGGCGTCGCCGCTCTCCAACCAGAACCCCATCCAACATTGCCGTTGTGAGGCTCAGGTGTTGCTTGCCTGTCCACCTGTTCGATTCACCACCACTCCGCGCTTCCTAATAGCGCCAGGGAAGCACCGCCTTCGCTGACGTTCTCAAACCGACCCTCGCCGCGGACAATCACCTCGCGCCGACGGCGCTGCGAAATCCCTTCACAGCTTCTGATCCCGTCCAGAGTTGCCTTTTTCCTGCTCGTGGCAACCTCCTCATTCTAGGCTTAAATCGGGCATGTCCTTCTACAGGAAGAATATAATTGGACGATGTTTTGATCATGTTTTGATACTTTTTGTATACGTTTGGGGTATTTGTTGTGTCGTCCAAAATCCCCCTGTAGGGGGACACGCCCGACCTAACTCCAGGCGCCCGCTGACTATTGCCACCCTGGAGCCCGACTACGACGAGGAGCTGCAGCGCTTCGTCCCAGTCGAGGAGCTGACGTCGTACCTGCTCCAGGACCGTTCTGCGGCACAGCGAACGAGAGAAGGGGTGAGCAGCTCCCAGCGATGACAATTGAAGAGAGAAAACGCAATAACAATAAACTTTTGGCGCTCCGCACGGAGTTCTCGGATCCGCGCTGGGCCCCCCCCTGCGGCGCGTCCGCGGCCGCCCCTTGGCGCGCTCCGCGCGCCAGGGAGGGGGGGGCTCCAGCGCAGAGCCAAGAAATCAGCGCGGAGGTTTATGTTTACAGCGTTTTTCTAGAGAGGCGACCCCAAGGCTCAGCGACGACGCCCGAAGCCTACCTGCGCCGCCCCCTGTCAGGGCTGGTGAGGGGGTGCACCCGCCAGGGTGCGCCTCTCGCTCGTGCACGCCGCCCTTCCTGCCGAAGTCCCACGGGCGTCCCGGGGCCACCCGGGAGTCGGAGCGGCAGGTCAGAGGAGGAAAAAAGTGCCCAATACCTCTGCCCTTCCCTCGCCTTCCCCTTTTTGGGCCTCCTCGGAGGCCCTCGTCGCCACCGCTGCATTCGGCTCGAAGTTCTGCCCAGAAGGCCCCCCGCGAGAGGCCCGGGGAGCAGCGGTGTCGGTGCCTTTTTGGTCTCCCCAGCAGGGGTGGGCTCACCCGTCGCTGCCTGAGGGGGGTTCTTCGGTCGCCCCTCCTGCGCGGGGGGAGGTCGCAGGCAAGAGGGTCCTCTGGAGCGGCGGAGCCGACGGAGGCGGCACGCGGGCGCGCCCGGTGGGGCCGTGAGGTGGGGCGCCTCTAAGGGCAGCACTCGGGGGCAACGATAGGGGGGGAACAGGCACAGGGGGGGATGCATCGACCCCCAATCGCCCATGGATCGCCGATATGGGGCCCGATGGCCCCACCCCTCCAAGGAAGGTGCGGATTCACCATCGGGGGCCTATCGCCGATTTATCGACGATGTATCGCCGATTCCAGGTCGATGCACCCCCCCCTATGCCTGTCCCCCCTATCGTTGCCCCTCAACCACCTCCTCCGATAGGGTGTGGGAGGATGGGCGGGGGGCGGCGTGCGGGCGCTCTCGCTGGTGCCGTGGGTGGAGCTGGGAGCACGGCGTGCCAATACGTCGTTCTCGGGACTCGAGCGCCACGGATCAACCTAGCTGCTGCGTCCTGACGACCCCGAATCGTGCCAGAGTGCCGTTCAGTCCGTGAAATTTTTGCAAGTGTTGAGATCCGGGTGTGCGCGGCGCTGAGGCGAGAAGCCTCGCCTCGCCCTCCACCGGTGAAGCTGTCACCGAGCTGTGGGCTTCGGGGTCACACGTGGCGAGAAAGTCTCGGGCGAGACGCCCTGCCCGCCCTCTTGACCGGCCTCGGGGTGCGACAGGGAGAAGTTATGTATGATTAGAGGGAGGAGGAGGGGGAGGAGGGGGCGGAGGAGGAGGAGGAGGAGGAGGAGGAGGAGGAGAGGAGGAGGAGGAGGAGGAGGAGGAGGAGGAGGAGGAGGAGGAGGAGGAGGAGGAGGAGGGAGGAGGAGGAGGAGGAGGAGGAGGGGGAGGGGGTGGGCTGGCAGCGCCCACAGAGGGGTGGCGCGAGGGGGGTGGGGTTGCCAGAAGTCGGGCGGGACTCCTCAGGAGACGGGGGCCTTCTCACAGGGGCCCGGGGGCCTCTGAGAGAGCTTCCTGGAGGCCAGGGCGGCTTCTGAGACGCCTTCCTGGCAATGCATGGTCCGCTGGCGTAGGAGGTGTGGTGGAGGATGGCAGTCACGACAACGCAGTGTAGAGGTATACGATCATCTTTGGGCCCCGCGGCAAGGGAAGCGAGGATGAAAGGGTGATATGTCCGGTTACATCTGGTCATTTCACAACCACTTGCGCGAACGAGGAAGTGGGGGCGGATCTTCATAACGGGAAAAAGGCAGACTGCCAGAGGGTCCATAGGATCAGTCGCTCCTAAATTTAGAGGAGATTCCTGCCGCGGCAGTCTGTGTTTTTACGTCCGCTCAACACGCCACCAGTGTGGCTGCCCAGAATATGATGAAGTACGTGAAAGAAACGGGCACCAGCAGTGAGAATCGTGAACCCTCGACGCATCCCACACAGTGCGTTGACCAAACATGGAAGACTGAATTCCCTCCTGAGCTTCGGTTCTTTAGGGTACTTTCGATCATCAGGGAGGTCTCCGCTAAATGCATTTCAGAGGACCGCCATGTGGCGTTCCCTGATGGAGATGTTGACAACGAGGCTCCGTTCGGAGCTGAGCATTGCCAAAAACAGGAGGATCGGCGCTTGAGCACTCGACGGGAAAACCAGAGCGGCGGTGCAACGCTCAGACTTGGTCCATGCGTATATGAAAGACTTGTGCTCCAACCTCAGGTCCCAAGTACGGTCCCTCGCTCCCACTATACATGCGTGCATTGCTGAACTCGGACCTTCGATCAACTGAGTCGAGCGGACGACGGGCGATAATGCCGCAGCGTGGGATAAAAGGACAACCAAATACGAAGAGGATACTGTCGCTATCGCATTTGGTGTTGTTGTCCGTGCGTTAAAGAATCGGGAATGCCCACTGTCAGCTCAGCCGACATGCGGGCAGAATGGGCGTCGACAGCGACCGAAAATCGACTGTGGACACGACTGATCAAGTGAGCGCGACGGGCACTGAGGCCGCTACCTGCTCAGCTGGTGATGCTGCTTCAGTAACCAAGCCCAGCCCGATCAGCGCGCCTATGCCCGGGCCCGCTGCCGACTCGGTCAGTGGTGGTGCTTCAGCTAGTGCCGTGCAGACAGATGACGCGCAGAATGCGGATGACTCTTCAACCAGTGGTCGTCCGACGTGGGCTGACCTGGGAGCATCGGCAGGTCCACGGGCAGCTGTTCATGGCGGTGCGCCTGTCAATGTCTGGTCTCCAGCTGTGCCTGCGCCACCGCCTCCACCTGCTCGCCGGGCGCCCTCAGCAAAGAGACCCGCTCCCGGCGAAATTGGGAGCGCGCCGCCGCCGCCCATGGCAAGGCGAACGACAGAAATACGTGTCGGCGGCGAAGCGTTCCCCTTTGGAAGGACTATCGGTCGCTGCGGCCTCTGCAGCGCCAACGGCGATGAGACAGATAGGCCGCAACATCCTTAGGGCGTATGGTACTAGAAGCTGGGACGCGACCCAGCATTGCTATGCTGGAACTTTATGGTGAGTGTACTGCGTGTGCTCTGGCGAATGGCAGTGATGGAGCATCAAGGACTACAACCGTTGTTTCAATGTTCCTCCGCAGGGCAAATGGAAAGCATCAAATATCAAAACGTGATGTCAAATGCAATTGCGACATCGCTTGGGTTGATTAAAGAAAATGTTGACGACTGCCGATCATGCAAGATGAGTGCGCGGTTGAACTGCGCGTTGCCTCGTGACGAGACGATGTTTGATTGCGACAAGGCACGGCTCAGCCGCATGTTGTTTGGCGGCTACATGCTCTTGAAGTGCGTTGCACTGAGCTGGCGCGCCGTATTATTTGTGGGACCCTGTTGCTTCGGCCCGCTTCGAGGCATTGCCCGAAGTGGCTGCGATTCCGCCCCTGTGCGCCGCAAAAATTGTTTTTGGGGCTTGGCGCCAGGGGGGCCAATGTGCTTGTGGATTTCAGGACGAGAAAAAACACACAGACACAATTAATCGTCGATCCCCCAGAAAATATAGGAAAATATGGGAAGTGGGGGGGAAGACAAAAACCCAGAAAATATGGGAACATATGGGGAATCTTTTTATTTGTGTGTATTTATTTGTGTGTCCTGGGGCCCCTTCAGGATTGCACGAAGTCTGGCAACTCCGAAGGGAGCCGACGTCGGGCCCAACGCATCTGGCCGCGGGGGGGAGTTTTTATGTGGCCCCTTCCCTGCTCGCTCCCGTCGCCGCCGCTGCCTTTGCCGCTGGACTCTTGGCCGTCCTCCTCCTCCTCCTCCTCCTCCTCCTCCTCCTCCTCCTCCTCCTCCTCCTCCTCTTCCCCCTCCTCCTCCCCCCCCCTCCTCCTGACTCGTCGCGTGGCCCGCAGTTGTTCTGGCTGCGAGCGGTTTGTGGAAACGACCGCACGTTGTCCGACCGCGCGCTCTCTCTGCCACACTTCTTCGTTACCCTTTGCTTTTATGGAGTAGCCATCAGAGCCATGCCATCAAAGGACGATGCAGCCACTGGGGATGGAGACCAAGGGGCCCATACCACGACAAGAGAACAGACCATTGTACACTTCAGAGTTTATCGCAGCTGTGGCAAATAACTCCCCCATCCCCCCCTTCCGACCCGCTTCGCGACATCCTCCTCGCAAGCCCAGGTTGCGCGCCAATCGTGCAAGCCCAACGCCATCCTCGCGTTCCCCCCGCCCCACCCCCGCTCTTCATGTCCTGATTTTTTTCCCTTCCCCCTTCCCCTCATTCGTCCTCCTTTCGTCTTCCTGCCTCCCTCGTCCCTCCTTTCCTCATCCTCCTCCTCGTCCTCCTGGGCCTTCTCCTTTTCTCGTCCTCCTCGTCCTCCTTTCCTCATCCTCCTCCTCGTCCTCCTCGTCCTCCTGGTCCTCCTCGTCCTCCTCGTCCTCCTGGGCTCTTCAGGTTCCTCTTTCTCTGTCTGCTGTGCTAGGAAACCCAGCTGGAAAAGATGCCGTGCCTGTTCAAGCAGGCGCTCGCTACTCTGCAGGCCCTTTCGCCCCGTGCCCGCTCCGTGCCGCCGCGCGGGTGGCGGTCGCCCCCTGGGGGGCGAGGCGCAGGAAGGGGGAGGGAAAAGAGGATACGATGGTGATGGTGATGGTGATGATGATGGGCGGTGTCGATGATGATACGATGATGAGGATACGATGATGAGGATACGATGATGATGATGATGATGATGATGATGATACGGGAAGGGGGAGGGAAAAGATGAGGATACGGGAAGGGGGAGGGAAAAGAGGATGCGATGATGATGATGATGATACGATGATGAGGATACGATGGTGATGGTGATGATGATGATGATACGATGGTGATGATCACCACCCACCAAACCACCCCAACCCAACCCGAAGGTTCAGATTTTCCCTCGATTTCCAGTGGGGGGGGGTTCGGGGAACGTTGAAAAAACACGTATGGAACCCTTACCCCCCCCCAACCCGAAATTCGGGCCTTCGGGTTGGGTTGGGGTGGTCTGGTAGGTAGTCAGGACGGTAGGTTTGCGTCGTGTCGACCAGCGGCGACCCCAGCGCGGGCGTTCAAGGTTGAACGCCGGCGGCGGCCCAGAATCGGTCGATGTTGAACGATCGGACGTTGCGGCAGCGGCCGATCGTTCAAGGTTGAACGATCCCTGCGGTGTCAAAAACCAACGCTGGGGTCGGCACGACACGAACCTGCCGTACGATGGTGATGGTGATGGTGATGATGATGGGCATGATGTTGCTGATGATGGTGGCGTCGTCGCGGAATTCTCATTTCAAACGCATAATTAGTGCCGCCCTCCTCCCGGTAACCCTGGTATGCTTAAAACATCAATTGCCCCTCCCAGAGATCTCGCCCTGCTCTTTACAAGGGAAAGCGAGGTTTCACCAGATTGGGCCCCTGGCCCCCGGGTTACATCAACAACGGCTCCCGCCCGCTCGTTCTTCACAATTTCTTGTTCACAAGTTGTGCAAGAATCGCGCTCTCGCGTGGGAGTTCTTCGCACTTGATTCAGACGCCGCGCCCTCGACACTCAGGAATCATGCGTTCGTTTTGGCCCCTTTCACGATCTATTCTGAAATCGCGCTCTCGCCCGGGCTCTCTTCGCGATCCATGCAGGACTCCCGCTTCATGAACACGCCTCCTCGACCTGGCCGCTTGGGCCCGCCTTCCCGACCCGCCCGCCGGGGTCTACCCGCCCGATGGGCCCATCCGGTTTTGGCACGTGTTCTCTTGTCCGAGCCCCTCTCCTGCGAATCAGTCCTCGCTTCCCTTTGTTTCAGGTGCTGCGCCACCACACGCGACAGACAAGGACGATGTACCCCCAGGGGGGGTACGATCGAAGACGAAGAGGGCGGATACCGATGTGCAAATGCGTGTTCAATGGCACGCGAGCAGGGGAGAGCGAACAGTCTTCAACAAGTTGTTGCTGTTGCTGTTGGTGATGCTGATGCTTATGTTGCTGATGTTGGTGATGCTGATGGTGATGATGGTGATGGTAATGATGACGATGTTGATGACGATGATGGTGATGATGATGGTGCTGACGGTGATGATGGTGATGGTGACGATGACGACGGTGTTGATGATGATTATGATGATTCCGATGATGATGGTGATGATGATGATTATTAAGATGATGACGATGATGGCGATTATAACGATGACGATGACGACGAGGTTGCTGAGGATGTTGGTGGTGATAGTGATGCTGCTGGTGATGATGATGATGATGATGATGGTGATGATGCTGCTGATTATGACGATGAGGAGGAGGACGAGGAGGAGGAGGAGCAGGAGCAGGAGGAGGAAGAGGATTTTCTCCTCAGGCGAACTCAAACAACCTTCTGGGCGACGGACACTCTGCAACGACAAAATGCTCATGCCACGGAATACCTCTTCGAGGTGGCGAAAAGGTCAAGCGGTCAGCAGGAATATTGATATGCTTGAAGTGATCCAAACAATCTTCGTAACTACAGAGGAGGAAGGTGGACGGAGGGAATACAATAATGAAGTGTTCGTAAGGGGGGAATCTTATACGGAGCGCGGAGGATGGTATAGAACATCAATTATGTGTATCATGTACAATTCAAGAAGTATCAAGCTGAGCGAGTGCCTGTAAGTGTCATTGAGATGACAAGTCCTGCGAACGTGTTTGCGGGGTTTGTCACTTATCATTGTGCGTGCCGCACAGCGGTGCAGGTGGCCTAGCACATCATGTTTCGTCAATCGTAGGGTGGCCTCCCGCGGAGCAGACAGCTGCCCAGACGGTGATGCCGACGACGAAAGTGCGTGGGGGTGAGGAGAGTGAGGAGTTCTCCAGTGTGCCGAGGCGGAGGAGAAGGAAGGTCGGAAGAACGGCGTGAAAAGGTGCTGATGATGCTGATGATGATGGTGATCATCATGATGGTGATGGTGATGGTGATGGTGGTGGTGATGATGCTGTTGAGGATGCTTGTGATAGTGATACGATGAGGATGTCGCTGCTGCAGCTGCTTGTACTGCTGATGAGCATGAGGATGAGGACTAGGATGGTGATAGTGATGGTGATGATGTTGATGCTGATCACGATGGTTCTGCTGGTGCCGAGGAGGAGGATGCCGAGGACGATGATGATGCTGAGGATGTTGATGATGGTGATGATGATGGTGATGATGATGCTGGTGGTGATAATGCTGAGGATGATGATGATGTTGATGATGATGATGCTGGTACTGATAATGATGTTGAAGATGATGATGATGATGATGATGATGATGATGATGATGATGATGATGATGAGTGATGACGACGACGAGGATGATGAAGATGGTGATGATGAATCTGATGTTGTTGATGGTGATGATGAGGAATATGTTGATGGTGACTGTGGTGGTGGTGACGACGATGATGATGATGCTGAGGATGATAATGATGATGATAATGCTGATGATACTGATGACGTTGATTCTGATGATGATGCTGACGATGATGATGATGATGATGCTGAGGATGATGACGATTCTGATGCTGTTCATTCTGATGATGGTGATGATGATGCTGACGATGCTGATGGTGATGATGGTGATGATGATGGCGATGATGATGATTATGAGGATGATGCTGATGATGCTCATGATGTTGATGATGATGATGATGATGATGATGATGATGATGATGATGCTGAGGATGAGGATGAGGATGATGATGATGATGATGATGATGATGATGATGCTGATGATGATGATGATGATGATGATGATGATGATGATGATGATGCTGATGATGATGATGATGATGATGATGATGATGATGATGATGATGCTGATGATGATGATGATGATGATGATGATGATCATGGTGGTGGTGGTGATGCTGATGCTGATGCTGATGCTGATGATGATGATGTGATGATGATGATGATGATGATGATGATGATGGTCGTGGTGGTTGTGATGATGAGGAGGTGGACGATGTTCAGGGTGGTGGTGATGATGATGATGATGATGATGATGATGATGTGTGTTGTGTGATGATGATGATGATGCTGATGCTGATGCTGATGATGATGATGATGCTGATGATGCTGATGCTGATGCTGATGCTGATGATGATGATGATGATGATGATGACGATGATGATGATGATGATGATGAGATGATGATGATGATGATGATGATGATGATGATGATGATGATGATGATGATGATGATGTTGATGGATGATGATGATGATGATGATGGAGGAGGAGGAGGAGGAGGAGGAGGAGGAGGAGGAGGAGGAGGAGGCGAGTATCGACTCCGTGTCCTCCACCTCCTCCTCCTCCTCCTCGGCATTCTGTCTATTCTACCCGCGCTCCAGGATCACTTTTGCGCCAGGTGGTGCGCGCCTCTTCCTGCGGGTGTTGCCAGAAGTGCCCCTGGCCCAAGGTACCCCCAGGATTTCCACAGACGCCCCCACAGCCTCCAGAGCACCCCTCAGGAGGCCCAGAGGGCCCCAGGGGCTCCAGAATGGAGCCAACAGCTGGGGGTACCTTGGGCCAGGGGCACTTCTAGCAACACCCGACTCCTCCTCCTCCTCCTCCTCCTCCTCCTCCTCCGATCCGATCGATCCGATTCGATTTCGATTTGGGCATCGGTTTCGGCCTGCTCGATGCGAGACGATGCCCCGACGCGGAGGCCCACGATGCATGCCAGGGCCGGGGGGCGCCGGCCGCACGCCGGCGCCGAGCCCGGGGAGGCCGAGCCCAGGCCCAGGGCCCCGGCTTGGACGCCCGAAACGGGTACGGAAAGACTGCCAGCCACGCGCAGAGGGGGGTGGGGGGAGGGGGGAGGGCTTCTGAGAAGCACCCCCACTTCTTAGAGCGCGGGCCTTATCTGTAGGTGTAAGGCCGGCGCCTTCTAAGGAGCGGCCCGCTTCTAAGAAGCCCTCCCCCCTTACCCCCACCCCCTTGTGCGCGCCGCCAAGAAAGGGTACAATGCCCAACAACAACTGTTGTCCCAGACCAACAGCGGCCGCTGTTGGGCAGGCGGCCCTCTGTCTCAAGTTGACACAGGCCGCGGCGGCGTGGACAGCGAGTCCTTTTCAAAGTGAACAAGGACTGCTGTTGGGCATTGTGCCCATTCGTTCCGTGCCCATCTCGTTCGTGCAGACCCGAGGAAGAGAGGCTCGGGGGCGACCAAGAGGGGCGGCCAAGGGTCAAGCAGTGGCGAAACGTCCCAGCTCGCCTATAGCCCTACCAAGCAATGTTCTAAGAACGTCTTGTGGTTTCCACGAGATGTTATGAGAACATCTCTGGTTGATCTGGTCTTGTTTTCGCACATCGGGTCTATGTTCTAAGGACATTTTTTGTTATTAGAACATTTTTTGGGTTCCAAGAACATTTAGTGGTAGGACGGAAATTCTGGGACGGTCGGTCCCTGCTCAAAGAGAGTGGAGTACCATGGCCAGGGCCATGATTCGGAGGTTGATCGACCTCCCACCCTGAAGCGTCGATTGAGAATTGGCCGTTTTCGGTTCGCGAGGGGG